TACACAGGACCTACACTTTATTGCCGAATCCGAACGGCACTATTTGAGAGGCTGTACAAGGCAAATATACTCAAGGTGGTTTGCCATTGCCTTCCTTGAGGTGGCGGCTCGTTGGTCGCTCTATTTAGATAAATTAATATTTTTATTTAAATAAATAAAGCGACCGTACTGGCTGGGGATCGAACCCAGTACCTTCCGCTCCGCAGTTCGACACACTAAGCCCGTGGTTACATTGGATGCATGTCCGTACGTTTTTTTGGTCGTACGTGCTCGGACGTGCACGCAGCGAAAAACAAACAAATGTATGGAGTCTAAAAGGAGGAGACGAATCGAACGCAAAAATTTTGGGCCCAGATTTCATGATCTAAATGAAGTTCGAAAATCGCCGTTAGGGGCGTATGTGATCAAAGAGATTGAAAAATACACAGCTTCTTATGGCAAGAATTACTATTTTGTTATAAATTATAGAGTTCAGTTAATATTTGGGCATATTTTTACCAGATTTAGCTTTGAGAAACGTGTTTTTTTCTAATTGAACAATGTGCGTGGCTAAAATTGTGAATACAAAACCTTAAATTTGAGTTTGAAAAGTAAGTTAGAAGTTAGGTTATATCAGATGCCGGTTTTAGATATTCTTTTTCTAAGTTGATATTATAATATTGTTTCATTATATGGTTCTTTTTAGTGCACACACGGCCGAAGAAAAATATAAGCTGCTAAAATAAATCTTCCCGAGAACTGTTGTACAAAAAAGATAGAAGTTCCAGCAACAAATATCACCAGTTCAACCTTTGATTTGATGTAAACAGCATAGATAAATGAAACAAGTTTAGATTGGAAAGTGCCCATAAGGACAATGTAAACACTATTTGGCGCTATTCTTGCAACGGTCGCGACCCAAAACTTTTGAAAATTTCGGAGCGGTTCGGCTTTTTCCGGAATTATATCGCCAAATATTGTTTATTCAAATTTATTATTATTTTCGTTTAATTTTATAAATAAAATACAGTGTGTTGCATACAAGAAACTTTATTTTATATAAGGACGCATGTATGAAATACCTATGAAACATTGGAAACCGACGTTATGCCACGATCCACGATGGTTTTTGCAGTTTACAGTTCTCAGCACAGCTTTTTAAGTTTTTAATGCCACTTTTTCACAATTATTACCGGTTGGAGTAAATAAAACTTGAATTAAACTCACAAGATAGCAATAATTACTTTGAAAATGGACGCTATAAACACTTTTCGGAATTTCTTTAATGAGAGCGGTTTAGATTTTGAAAGATTATTATGATTTTTGAAGATTCTGACTTTGACAAGAGAAAATTATTTCTGTTTTTGTTTGCCGTTGCTCTTAGCGACCGCTATAGCAGCGCCAGATCGCGTATAACGGTCGCGACCCAAAATAATTTCGCGACTTAAAATTTTACGGGCTTTCCAATCTAAACTTGTTGCATTTATCTATGGTAAACAGTAATTGTTTCCAGAGTTGTTTCTTGATGACAAATGCGAATTAAATAGTTTATGGTGTGTTTGTGTTAGTGATTTATTAATAGTTTTTCATAAAAACATTTAAAATTGATATGTTTACATGCAGTTCAGTGTGATACCATTTTAAAAACATTAAAAACTTTCATAACAAACTAGTAGTGGTTTTACGGCAATTGACAGAAACTGAATCACGAAAATTAAAAGTATTTTATCAGGAATAACTTCAATGGAAAGTGCACCCTTTGATCAGTGTTATCTATCCCATAACTTTTTATAGCTGAAACCAGAGAATATACACATTAAGCTGAAATGTTTCCTGTGTCCAATAGTGTTTTTTTTTAGATTTTCTGAATTTAAGTTTTAATGTCATTAGCAAAGTTTTGCAAATTGTCACTGTTTCGTAGACCATTAAATTCAAGATGTATTATATTCAATGTCATCTAATAATTGTAAAGGTAAATTTTAGTAAATAAAATATTAATGAATAAATAATGAACTCAATTTATTTCAAAAGAGTTAAGTTAAAATTAATCTGTGCACTGACAGTATATAATTTGAATGTTTTTTTTAACATCTATCCATATTTTGTTAATTAATTAGGTATACGACTTACATTAGGACCTTTGAAAAGGCTTGGGTTTCTTTCACCCCGTTCTTTATTTGTCTTTTTTCCACTGTAAGTTCCACTTATACAGCCAGGTACGAAGCAAGATCTATCGTTTAGGATTTCTTTAATCATACTCATTGGTACATTGCTAATAGTTCAATAAATTAACTCTAAATTTAAAAAAAACTAGTAAAAACACAGTTAAATCGTATACTAACAATGAAAATGATCAATCTCACACGCTTACAGTGCCTCTGGTGTCAAACCGAGAAACTTGCTTTAAAGTAGGGACAGAAATTTCAAATATGCCCATTGTCGATAAATCTCCTATTTAAAGCCCTCCATAAACAAATGGTATCTACGCAGGCGGTTACATTGCATTGGAGTTTACGCGTCCGTGCACGTACGTCAATCTCCGTTGGTCGGATGCAGGGGGGTGACAGTGAAATAGGAAAATTGGAAACAGTCATTAGTGTCAATCCTGTCATCTCCTGACGACAAGTATGGCCGCCTAGACAAGGACAGCAATGTTTCTGTCTAACTATTGTCTAACTTCCCAGTTTAGAATTGACAGATTTCAGCGATTTCAGAGACAACTTCAGATTTGTTCTAGAACAAATTTCGACGCCATTTTAATTCTCTCCGGTTAGTTTTGTTTTGTAAATTCAATTTGATATTTCGGCAGAAATTTATAAATATAAAGGTAGTAAAGCATATAAAATATATTATTACATGAACAATCCTGGAGAAAAAGACGTTTCTGCAGTACTAGGTATGTCCCATGTATATTAAAAATAGGTAGTAAATAAACACTATTTCTGTATTTTTTAGATGCAAGAAAATTTTGTTATGTTTATGATCGGCGATTTTTTTGAAAATGGAAACAATTAACAGCAAGGTAAGATCATTTTTAACTATAGCCAACATTAGTTATCTCCAGTATGTGCGATTTATTGTCAATAATGCAGTAAATCTGACTGATACAATCTGATCCGACTAAAAGTCTCTTTTTGCTTCTTTTTGATTTACAAACCAGGTCTCTTTGGGAATAATGGACGCTTTTTTTAAACAGTATATTTATATTTTATACCTTGATATTTTTACATTGTTAATTTTAGTATAAAAAAATTTGTTTTTCTGTTTTCAGATTTTTGTATAAGGCTCCCGTTTTCATGTCTGCCCCCGTTTTCTATCCTTGATGGCTGTGAATAGGCGTATTTATTTACAAATTACTGTAAGTCATACTTATACCTTACTAATTTACGTTAAAATTGCATATAATTAAGTAATTGCTGTAGAAATCATTCAATTCTTTATTTTTTATATTTATTTAGTCCCGTTGTCTCATATTTCAAATAAATATGTTTGAATAAAATTTTGTTTTGTTTTATTTATGATAAGAAAGAGTACAAAATACGTTTAAACTGAAAGAGGGCCCGCCATTGAATAACCGGAAACGGAAATAAAAATGAAGCCATCATGTCAACCTGTCAATTGGAAAATTAGTTCTCCAGACGACAACGAAGGCTTTCGGTGGCGTATCGTGTTTCCACGATTTAACACAGAGTTGACACTTCTTTCTAGTTAATTATTTTATGGTCGGATGAAAACAAACTGGTTTGTTTTTTTAATACCTTTAGTGTGTTCTGTGTTTAATACGTACACGTCCGAGCGTTCGAATTTTTATATCTCTGGGCCCAATACATTTGAATATAAAATACCGAAAAATTTGAATATTTTTGAATACAAGGTTTATTTTTATTTAGGATATATTAATGTTGCTGGAAACATTCTAAAATATTCAAAAAACTTGATCGGTTATTACTGTTTTAATTCACCAAATATTTTACATAATATTAATTTTCTTCTCCTTTACTTGCATATGAATCATTTACCCAACATTTTCTTCTGTTCATAAGGACTTATTTTAACATTAAATCCTCAGACAGCATCAAAGTAGTGGCGTCCGTTTTGACAAACTCACATGCACGGACCCGCGTCCAATGTAACCACAGGCTAACGCTGGAGCTACGGCCGGCCACTTATCACCCTCCACAAAGAAAAGCTAACCAAAGCAACCCAAATCCTAACCAATATAATAATATATTTGCAAAATCACAGTTAAATTATTAAAATATTGTTGCGGACCCGTGTGAACTCGACCTAACCTAACTATATGTCCCGCCCTCAGATGACCTTAACATCGCATTAAAGAATAGACACGGTAATGATTCATTCGTTCGAGAAGAATCGAGTCCCACTGGAATGGACTAGTACATACGAGAACATTCGAAAACCTTCTCTACGCACCTAACGATCTATGGACTATTCTAGTGTTCTTTACCTGTCGGTATAAAGCCGGCGGCTGTGGCCTACAGGGGCAGTTATAAATATACCAGTTGAGTTGACGCGCTAAAATTCAAAATAAATTCTTAGTTATAAATCGTTTGTAAATAGTTCTATAAGTCTTTTATCGTTATTGTTTTTGTTAATTAGTGTTAAATAAATAGTGTTTAAATAAATTGTGACTTTCTATCCACACGGAACCGACGAAAAACGTAACAATATAAAAGAAAACTGCATGCTCCAATGATTTAATTTTTATCGAGATCTACCACCCCTTAAAATACTTGCACTTATTTCTGGGACACCCTGTATATTATCATTTTTCCCATTGAAATACGGTGGCCGTATTCGGTATGTTTAAAAAAAGATATCTTAGCCACTATTTTTTCAAACACCATGTATAATAAAAGAAAATTGAAATTGTCTGTTTTAACAAAAGACAATAAATCCTATTCTAATTAATGTCTTATCGTTATTTATAAACAAATATGATAATGAATTTGACTCTATTTTGGTACTTTTTATTCGCCCTGTATATAAATAAATTTTGTCAATATGCCTTATCTGATAAAGTATGGATAAAATAGTATAGTTTGTGGTATTTCTGCAGAGGTTAAAATTGTGAGAGATATTGAAATTATATTATTTAAATAAAAGTAACTGTACAATGGTATTTTGCATATTCTGATATCTGTTAAACTGTTATTAAATTTTGATTTATCAAGTATTCTATTGCACTAACATAAATGGAATATGATTTAGTGCATATTATAGGATTCATACATCTCGTAAGTACGTTGATGAGCTATTATTTATAACAATTAATTTCATTTTCACTTTTAGATATATGCAATTTATGGATTTTATATTACAATAACAGATATAGCAGCCGATGAGTATCCAGTTAGCATTGACGAAATTTACTACACGATTTTTCATTTTACAACCCACATAATCTTAGTTTTCTGTTTACAACTAGGAAATTCAAAGGTTAGGGATAATTTATTTATAAACATTATTTTTAAAGTTGGGGATTCCTCTTATCTCACTTCTTATATTGTTTTATTTGTCGTGTTTTGCTGGTTATATACGGACAAATTGAGGATTTTCACTTTTATATACCGGGTGCGTCTCAAAAGTGGCTCACCTCTATAACTTTTTTATTTTTTCAGATTTTGTATTTGACATAAATTAGGATTGATTGAAATTGTTTTTGGGGTCAACTTTCGTTTAGTTAATCAGTTATTAGAAGAAACAAAAATTGTCTTTAAAAAGCTACTGTGAACCACTGAAAACACAAATTTTCCTGCGGAAATGCGTAATTTTCAAATTTCGCACTTTAAAATAACTGAAATCTGCTATAAAAAAAATACATTTTGCGTTTTATTTTTAATATTTTTCTGAACATAATATAAACACAAAAATGTACCTGCGGAAATAAGCTGTTTTCATTTTCTAAGGAAATTTATTAGACTTTAGAATAGCTGAAATCAGTTACATAAAAAATAAATATATTTTTGCCTTTTAGAAGCATTCACGAATTGAGGAAAATAAAAATTTTCCTGCGGAAATAAACTGTATCCATTTTCTGAGGAAATTTAATAGACTTTAGAATAGCTGAAATCAGTTATATAAAAAATAAATATATTTTGCCTTTTAGAAGCGTTTACAAACTCGGAAAATAAAAAATTTCCGGGAAATGCTTGATTTTCATTTTCCATTTGTTCCTTATTATATTATCGGGTCTTGTAAAGTATAAGTACCCACGAATTTAGCAATTTTTTTTGGCAGAAAGTCCTATGCTTATAGAACAGTTTAAAAGAAAAAAAATCTTGGATAAAGCACTTTTGAACGAAAAAAAATCATTTAAAAGTGTCTAAAATGCTAACCAATCTAATAATAAATCTATAATAATATTTTTTACAAAATCACAGTTAATTATTAAAATATAAAAGCCACAGCTTAACACCCTCCACAAAGAAAAGCTAATCAAAGCAACCCAAATGCTAACCAATCTAATATTTTTGCAAAATCACAGTTAATTATTAAAATATAAAAGAAAACTGCATGATCCAATGATTTTTTGTTTTAAATCAGCCCTATTTACGCAAAGCTTTAATAAAAAACAAGAATAAGTGCAACATTCCGTGGTACTTATAGTTTACAAGAACCTATATTATCTATTCTACAAGAATTGTTATTCCTCCGAAAGATGTTTATTCCACCCAGCACCCCTATTCGCTCCCGGGTTCCGTAAGTTTCTAAACTGAAGCTTACGGGACGGAACTTTAAGCGACAATGTCCACAGATAACAGAACTAATTGAGAATGTCACAAGTAATATGCTATGTCATTCTATTCAGAGTGTAATTTTCCATCGAATAAAGTAAAAAAATACTGAGGGCGACAATGGACACAATCAAAAGTTGTATAAATTTCCGGCGAAACAGGAAGTGACCGAAAACAATTGAATACGACAATTAATCCTGATTCATGTCATATACTAACATATCATATCTGGTTTATTTAACTGAAAAAATAAAAAAGTTATAATAGGGGTTAGTCACTTTTAAGATACACCCGGTATACGGCAAGGAGAGTGACAATGGGACAGCCTGTACATTTTATAACTGCAGAGAGATTATTATATTACCTCATTATTATTGTTATTACCTTTATAATTTAAATTTCCCCTTTTTTCAGAAAAAATATATATACTTCTTACCTTGGCTAACTGTTTTCCTTTTTATCTTTACTATAATGACTTATTTATGGATGAATTCGTTATATGAATCAGTAAATAGAAGTCTGGAAATATTTATTAGCAACATAGCTTTCTTAGGTTAGTTATAAAAGCTCTGTTTAATGAAAAGTGTTAAAAATTGATTTCCTTTTTTTTTAGGTGTATGTTGGTCATCGTGGATTATAGTTTTTCGTAAATTTCATTTATTAAGAAAAAGAAGTCGATTGCAGTGGAGGGAGAAAAGAGAAAATTTTGAGTGGGGAATTATGAAGGGTCGTTGTGTCAATATCTATAGGACTATTTAGGCCACAGTTGGTATGGGAATTGTATATATAGATTGGTTACATCTGGTTATGAGAAAAAAAATACCTCTTAACAAGTTGATATTTAACTGATGATAAAATATATTATTATTTTCGATAATAAAAAATATAACATAACAATTTATTAAAATACCAAACTACAAACTTCAAAACTATATAATTTATAGATTGTCTTGAAAACATATTAAGTTATTTTTTTTATTATTCTTTGCATAAAGGTTCATCGCAAATATATGATATAAAATTTTATGTTATTTTCTATTATATTACTCTTTATTTATTCTGTGTTTGTTGTTCATTTAGTTGTACCCTTTCTATGTATATTTAAGTATACAGGGTGTATACAACGAGAACTACCAATTAAAAATATTTTCAATATGGCGGCACTTCCGGAAATTGACAGCAAGATTTCTCTAGAAACTTCTAATGCAAGATCAGCCTCTGGGACACTCTGTATTAACTTACTACAGTCTATTATTTGTATCCAATTGCCAAAGTAGTGGCAATTGGTATATTTACTTCATTCTGTAATGTCTAGCCTGGCAATTTCATCATTATAAATTATCCTTTTTCCTAATTTAAAATACGTTGAGTTTAACAATAATGTTTTAAATGTTACGCCGCGCCGTGTCCAGACCAAGTAGACAAAACAACGACAAGACAGAAACATTCATATTTTACGACAAAATTGCGACAAATCCAATACATTACTGTGACATATTTGTCTCATTTTTGTTTTATTGTTTCAAAATTCGGAGACTTTTCAATGTCCTGTCTCGAGTCGGTAAAGATCAAAATGTCTATGTTTTGTTCCTATATTTCGCGACAAGTTGTCGGCGCAGTGTGGATGACGTGTGTTGCCAACAGTAGGAGACCAGTGAAATCACACATGGTTAATAAAACTCATTTGCAATAACTAAACTCTTGACTTTGTTGTACTTTTGTCCTCTGCGGTGTGGACAATTTGTCGCAAGATTGTCTTGTTTTTGTCTCAAAATCGTGTTTACTTTTTGTCGCCTTGGTCTGGACCCGGTATTAAAAACATTTTAGCAAAAGCTACCTATCTAAACAAGATACGCAACAACACAAACTATAAAGTTAATCAAGAATTAATAAAATGAACAGAGAATATTACCGAAAATATTACTTCGCCAAAAAAATATATTGTTGATCTTTGATTTTGTTTCCAATTAAATGATATTTTTATTTCGGTTGTTAAAAATATTTCGCTGTGATAAATCGAGTTGCCGCGAAAATATTATAGTTTATACATAATATGATTATATGCATTGTAAAACAGAGTGCACAAATAATTTATGTGTAATGTATGTGTATAATATAATTTTACAATTAATGGTGATTTTTTTTTAATTCTTAGAAGTCTGAGACATGAAAAAATAATATGATCATGATTCTTAAACGAAAAGCTGATTTTTAGCGGAGTAGAAACTTAATTTTTTTAAACTTTGTAAAATATGTCAATCACTAAAAATCGTCAGAAAATGTCTTTTATACTCCTTTACACTAAGGAATTTTTTAGAATTTTTTGAAGTGGTGGAACAATATGAAAAAAATTAAAAACACATTTTTTTTTCTAAAATCTTCTGTTTTAACTAGCTTATATTTTTATTTAGTTTAAAAAAGTGAGTAGAAAATATTTTTTCATTAAAAATACATCCTTGCCAGAAATAAACATAAAGATTATTATAAAAAAATGAGTCCGAGAAGATTTTAGAAAAAAAGATATACAGGGTGGCGCCTCTCATACGCCGCGGAAGCTCCAAGGAGAACGGTAGTTTATATCGAAATGAAATTTTGGCAGCATATGTAGGTTAACTGAAAGGATTTTATAAAAATATTCAGAATTATACAGGGTATCCCCAAGGAAAGTTACACATCAAAGTTGCGTTTTTTTCTAATAAACACACTATATATTAGTTGATTTTTGGATTTTAGGAAAAAAAATAAAGGGGAGTTTTGTTAAAGAGAAAAATATTTCACATTTTGTTAAAATGAAGAGTAAATTTTAAATTTCGGTAACAGCTACTTAAATTTTAGTTGACCTTGTATAGCCTAATATTTAATTACAGTAACCATTGTATGTTAAACCAAATTGAAATTTGACCCTAGAAGTTATACAGGTTGAGGCAAAATTAATATGGAACATTAGTCACTTTTAAAAGCTAGTTACTCTTTTATTTTAAATGGAACACCCAGTATATTATTCCGATATTCAATAGAGAATTCATGTTTCTTCAAATTTTGTGTCAGTTAAAATTAAAAAAAATTGCCGAAAATGCAAACTTAGCTTACATCAGAGAGAACTGACATGATTCTATTAGTTGGTGAATGCAGTGTGCATTATCACCAATTAATAGAATACTTAAATGTTCCTGATTTTATCTAGTCTGTTTTTTTATGGGGATATGCTTACAAAACTCGACCAACTATTGTTGACAACATGAGAGAAATTATTGTAGCTGCTTTTCGAGATAGAACTCCACATATTATGCCTTTTAAAATGACAAGATCTTTTGAAAAGACAATCATTTTATGCAGTTAACATGAAAGGAAGCATTTTGAGCTTTTGATTTCATCTAGCTAATTTTTGTCACATAATTGTAGGCTTATACCTAGTTTTAATTCTGTAATAATTAAAATATGTTTTAAGCGTGTATATTTTTTATTACCGTTGAGTCTTTTATCCTACATCCTTTTTTTGTTAAATTAACAAAAGGTATACCCTAGATTTTTTCAAATAATAAAGATCTACTGACGCAAAATCATAAAAATTAAAATATCTAGGAAAATCTTTGTCTGAGGGGTAGGCAACCTTAATAATATTTTGAAGATATATAAATTCCCCATTGAACACCGGAATAATATACTGGGTGTTCCATTTAAAATAAAGGAGTAACTTGCTTTTAAAAGTGACTAATTTTCCATATTAATTTTGTCTCACCCTGTATAACTTTTCGGGTCAAATTTCAATTCGGTTTAACATACAATAAGGTTACTGTAATTAAATATCAGGGTATACGAGGTCAACTAAAATTTAGGTAGCTCCCAAGTGGCACAAATGTGCTTAAAATGGTTATATAGAGTGTTATATAACAATTCATGATAAATATGTACTATTTTTTAAGTGCTTTATAAACCCTAATACGATAGTTATAAACACGAAAAAGGCGCAGGTTTATAAAACAATATACTTATTTAGAAGTACTTTAAAAACTCTCCGATAACGCTTACAAAATAATATTGAGTACATTACAAAATATTTATAAAACTGTTTTATAAAAGATTTATAAATATTTTAAAAATAACATATTTGTCTCAGTTAAAATATTTTTGTAGCATGCATCTGCATTTTTGTTTTTTAGTTATCAAGAAAAAAATTATAATATCGTGTAAGATAAAACTGATTTTAAAATGGCAACGTACACATATATTCTATTTAAATGACAGATATGGCTAATTTAAAGAAAGATGTAAATTGTATAAAAAGTATATCGCCTAAAACGCTCCAGGAGTAAAATTTTCCTGCGGAGTAAATTTTACTGATATTATATATCCATATTTGTGGAATTATTTTAGGGCGCTGTCATTCTAATAATATTTTGCAGTTATAATAAATATTTAATTTTTAGGAAATTACTGCAAAATTACCTGTAAACTGGAAAATCGACATTGTTCAATATCCGATATTATTGGAAACTAATTCGTTTCTTATAAATACGTTTATTTTGGAATTAAATTTTGATTATTTTGTTTTGCAAATCCCTACTCGATAAAATGGCCGACATACAGTCGTCCAAATTCAACATAAAATAATGGCGTCGATTAACAAAACCCTTTTGTTGCTCAGGGAGCAGTTATACAATTAACTTATCTTACAATGATGCTATACGGAACATATTTATTTTATTACTTAAAATAATGTCGGCAAAATACAATTAAATTCGTCTATATATTCTGGTGCTATCACATTTACAACAATAAAATTATAGACGTGTGTTTTTAAATTCGCTAGTAGGTTCATCAATACTTAAAACATAAGAAGACATTTTAAAAACTTAAAATTTTCATCGATTTTTCTACGGCAAATAATTAGAAAAAAATACATAATTAAACACAAATTTGACTTTTAATTATACTTACAGACTTTATTTTTATTCTGGCAACATTGGATGACTTTCTTTCCTTCCCCTTTTAGATACAACGCCACAGACTAATAACGTAGAAATGGGCCTCACTACTATGTAGTCGAACCGGGTTTTAATATAGCAATATTGTTGCACTTCACGTGTTATCCCGCTATTTCAAAACCTGATTATTTTTTATTTATTTTGCTTATGTTATTTATTTTTTGTTAGTTACACTTAGACACAAATATGTTTAATGTCAAAAATAAAATCTTTCAGTTAGAAATACTTGACATTTTAAGTTTTAGAGATATAATCACAATTTTAAAATATATTTTAGACTCTGACCAAAAGCAAAGTTTGAGGTTAGTGCTATAGTATGTTTATAAGGTTTCCTAAATAACATTTTTGTATTTGGGGAGACACTTTTGTTTTTTAATCGCTTTATAAGAATTTTAATTCGTTTCTTTAACAGCAATTATAAAATTGTTTTATTAGAGTAGCGGCCGTGACTAAATTATTGCGAAGACCAAATTGTTTTATAAATCAGTCGTAAAAAAGCTATAAAACATGTCGATAATGTTTTAATAAACTAAAATGCATATTTTTATAGCTGTTTTGTAAATATTTTATAATTGTTTTAAATTATATTATAAATCAATTATAAAATATATCTAGCTCAAGCATAAATAGTTGTATAATATTTGTTATATAAACGTTCCTGAGCATATTAACGAATATATTTATAAAAATGTTTTATAAATTAGTCGCCAAAACATCTATATAACAAAATAATAAAACACATTTGTCTCTATGATAAATTTGTGTTCTTTGCGTTTATTATATAACAATTCAGTGTATGAGATCGCTTTAGTAAATCATATATCAAACACTTCACTCTCATAATAATTTATTGTGCTAATTGGGGCTGTGATCGAAATTTAAAATTTACTTTTCATTTTCACAAAATGTAAAATATGTCAAAATCCTTAGATTTTAGGTATATGCTTCTTTAATAAAACTCACCTTTATTTTTTTTTCGAGAATCCGAAAATCAACTAATATATAGAGTGTTCCATTAGAAAAAACACAACATTGATGAGTAACTTTTTTTGGGGTTACCCTGTATAATTCTATATATTTTGTAAAATGCTTTCAGTTAACCTACATATATGCTGCCAAAATTACATTTCGATATAAACTACCGTTCTCCTTGGAGCTTCCGCGGTGTATGAGAGTCGCCATCCTGTATGTATAGATAGCTTCCAAATTTCTTAATACACCCTCGTATAATATAATCAAAACAATTTTAATGAGTGCGTGTACAGCGAGGTCGTTGGTTTCCTCGGACGAAGAAGTGTCTGCAGCTCGGTGCTCCCGTACGATATTTATAGAAAGGCATTCAGAAACCAGTGACCGACGGGCACTTGTGACATGTAATGGACACCACTATCACCATTTTTGCTGGAGCCCCCGCCTGCTGCACCAGAATCACTTAATCGGTCTGGGGAAAATTCAGTAAAAAACTGCCCGCCTTTTCACGCGACATTTACTCCAAGTGTCTATTTATAGAAGTTGTTGATTGTTTGTGTAAATTTAGCTTTTATGATAGTTATATCTTTTCTATTTA